GCTGCTGCTGCTGCTGTTGAATGACATTGGCAGGCGAGGGATTGCTTGGACGTTGCCGGGGCGGTGAGGTCGGTCTACTGGCCAACATTCTGACACGTTGAGTGCTTCCATAGGCATCCACGAACGCCCACAGTTGAAGACTCTGATCGACATGCATGACGACATTGGGTGCGCCACCATTCTTGCTCATCTGCACCTCACCGTAATGCGTGACCGTGAAGGCAATTTCGTCACCTGGCTGCGGACTCGACGCCACGTCTTTGGAGACCACCCAGTATTCAGGACGATCTAACAGCAGGTCGCTATCGTCCGGCAAATCCTCTGCCGTTAGCCGTGCCGGGTCGCACGAAGTCAGGCCTAGGGCTAAAGCGCCAACATACATCGGTTCTGTAGAGAGAATCTGCACAACCAATCGCTCTCCCAACAACAACGGCCGACTCGTGAACGCGTAGCCGTGACAGAACTCCGTGTCCGTACGCGTCGCCACGCACTGCTGGTTGCTGAAGCGGATGTTCCTACCCCGAGTCCTGCGGAGAAAGAAAATGAGGAAGCGATTAACCTCGGCGGCACTCGTTCGCTTAATGACGGGCGTCTTGGAAAATTGTGAAAAGCGGACGGCAAATTAGTTCTGTGCGGATGAACGGCGCATAGTGGTCACTTTCGTCCATATGAGCGAGCGAAATTGTTTTATTTGATAAAACATGTTTGAGGCTTGGAAAAATTGATGCTTAGAAAATCTTACGAAATGATAAAAACTAATTTAAATGAATAGTTTGTAAATATTTAGGGAAATATTGAAAAATAACTAACATAGAAAATTAAACTGATTAAAATTCTCATTGCGGTCGGAGAAATCACTTCTCTGTATCAAAAAGTTCAAAATTGCATCAGTTTTTTTTATTAATGTTTGGTTCATCCCGTCAAACGCAAAATAATGCTTCTCATCGCACTCCGCATGCCAAAGCTAAGAATGAGCACAAAATCTAAAGTTGCAAATAGTTGCAGTTAGATTTAATGTAAAAACAATTATTAGGAAGTAATTTAATAACTCTATACAAGTAACCTGATCAATTCTCACGCCAATTCCAAGTTTTCTCCTTTACCAAGCTTCGTAAAATATAAAAAGAAATAGCAATTTTTAAAGCCAATTTTTTAAGCCATAAATCTTTACCCACATTAAAAAAATTCTTATTAGTTTCAGATTATAAAGTGCTTACTTACTTATATTTGTAGGATCCATAGCAAGAATAGAAAGAAAAAGCTCTATTTAGCAAAAACTCACTTATTGAAATGAAGGCGAGCACGAGTCGCAATAAGTGTGAGTGCATCTTGTAGAATCGTTCATTACTAACAATTCCTCGCTCGATTTTTGAATAAATTATTTTTAAATTTCATACTTCCAAGTATTCAGACTTATTTTTATGTAATAAAAAAGTTTAAAACGTCCAATTGAATTTTTGACTTTCGCGCGCTCAAATTCATAAAGGTGACCACTATGCGGCGCAGCGAATGATTGTATGCTTCCATTGTAAATCAATGACTTTCAACTTTCGCGTTAATCTCTCAAAAAAAAAAAACTATCGCATCGAGTAATGTAAAACTTTACTAATTTGATCAGACAACTTTAATTAGAAAGCGTAATATTGTGCAAGTGGCGTTTCGAAGCAGACAAGTTGGTCCTAGGTAATTCTCTCCGGATAATTCAATTATGATTTAAGTCGGCGAATACAAAAATCTTTTCCGCGACACGTATTAACTGAAGCATGGATGAAACGCGAGTAGACGATTTAGCACGTTCGATATACTCACGAGTGGAAAGGCAGAGGCGTAAAAAGGACGCCAGGGGGTTGAAATCTGAGACCGGGTAGCTCCACGTCAGGTTCGTGATGAATCGACATGTTCTGCATAGACGGCACGATGATCCTTTCGACATCCCGACCGGCGTTACTGGCGTCATCCATGGCAGAGTGCCTACTGTGCTGCGCATTGTCCTCGTTGCTATGCTCGGCGCCCCTACGTATGTTGTTGAAGTGCTGACGATTCGGATCGACAAATTCGATCGCGGTGCTGTTACCGTAGACGTCGATGATCGCCCAGAGCGGACCCCGAGTCTCGACACCGCTGAAGAAGAGACCCTTCTCCTCGCCATTGACACCAAAGTGTACGTCACCAGCCGATGTAACGTAATAGAAGAGTACCGTATCTCTCTCCGCGAACCTCTCGGCGAGAGCTTTAGCCCAGTAACCTGGCTTATTCGTCAAATCTGGGCACGCGTACCTTGGTAAACCACTTCGAAGATTGATCGGGTCGTTGCTGGTAAAACCGAAACGGATCACGCCGCTCCAATTGTCGGAAATCTCCAGGAACTTCACGCAGACCTGCACCGTTTCACAGAAAAGCGACCATGTAGAACGCAACTTGTGATTTGTACAAGGAAGAGAAAAGAAAAGAAGCCACCTTGCGAAACGGCGATAGAGGTGCCGCTCGAGCGATCCTAAAATGGAGCTTTATTCGAGGCATCTTCGGGAATTAATTACGCTCCATTACATTCGTCCCACGTATTACGTCATTATAAATTTTATGACTAATCTTAGATACGCCACGAAATTGAAAACACGCTTAAACACCCAAAACGGCGCACGCCCACCTATCTCATATCAGTAAATGGTCTTTGAATATTCGTAACAGATTGGAAGACCGGATGATTCCGTGAAAATTGTTTGAATCGTTCAGCGCGGTTATACGATCTACTCGCATTACTTAACTACAAACAGACACGTGATAAGCCTGAACGCGGGCATCGCCAGAGGCTTGTAACTCTCAACCTGGACGATATGCAAAACAACGACCTACGCAAAAAGTACGTTACTTTCATAGTCGCGGCAGCGGTCCGTTTTAATATTCCGAGGAATGCGAACAGCGATTTCTCGAGCGTAACGAGAATCGTCGGTTTCCCACAATCGACACGGGCGCCAGTCAGTGCAGGATAGATCAGTGATTTATTAAAAGCCGTCGCGGCAATCGAGGAATCTCACCTTCTCGCCTACTCGCACCGGTCTGGCGCTAAAGGTAACACCCTTGCAAAAACTTTCGTGTCTTCGAGCGATTGTACCGCCATTGCACAGCCTGATGTTGTCACCATGCACGTGGTGAAACGTCAACGGTGGCAAATTGTTGGTACCCGCGTTTGAGGATCTGGGAGCTGAAACAGAAAACGATAACCGTCAATGATCAAACATCGTCCGATTATACATACACTTATATGTTCGTATATTTCAAATCATTTAGTTTGTTTTGCAGGTGCGTTGTTTCGTAATCGATATTAATATCGTTGGATTATGGATAAAAGAATGTGCAAAAATTATCTATACTCTGTTCAACGAGAGAATGACCTCGGTTTGCGCATAGCAGGCAATGTAACGTTGTACAACGCTATGAAGACTTGTGCAAAACGGACGATTATTCGTCCGATCCGAGGTAATTCTCTCGTTAAACGGAGTATATGCTTATCTATGCGTGTTACGTAAATAATATTCATTTACATAAAACGCATAGATAAAAAGATTTTTATAGCTATTTATGGGCATTAGGTAAATAATATTTACCTAATGACACTTATGTAAGTAAGTACAAATCATATCTTTTCTTACAAGGTTGCAACGATTATGAAAAATTGAGAAAAAATCTGTTTCAAAGTCTAATATTCTTCATTTTTTTCAAAGTATACTCGATATATTTAAAAAGATAAAAAAAACTCTTGAAATATCCAATTTTACAGAATACGCTTAGGAGAAGGTCGGATAGTATCGGACAAAGATTGTTTAAAATTTTGAACACGAGTGGCAACATTTGATAAGCCAAGGAAAGTCTATTTTCACATGAGAACTGGTATCTCTCTGTATTGAGAACAGACGCAGTATTATTTAGCGAGTTATTGTATTTTGTTGTGTAGCTTATTTATGCCGACACGAAGATTATTTGCAACCGGACACATCATTTGTAAGTCAAATTTGGTTGTAGTTCACCAAATAAAACAGTTTCTATTATTCTTTGAAATGTAGGTTTAAAATCTTTCTTGTTTTAAAACTGCTCGTTTCATATGTTGTTTTTCATTGCACGTCATTCGGATGGGATCAGACAATAAGATGACAGACAGTAAAATAAAGGTTGGATATGGTACAAAGATTCTATACAATGCTACCACATGCGTCTAACATTTTAAATAATTTTGCCCGACCTTTCCCTATCAACCCACGTCAACAAAATTTTGAGGCAGGCAAATAGGAAGAAAAAAGCAGATAATAGTGGAATCTACTAAATAACATATTCTTTTTGCAATTTATTTAATTTATCATTTTTTTATCCTATACCACTAATTTACAGAAAATGTAATAACACTTAAAAATGGAAAAATCTTGGCTATTTTTAAGTTTTTTAAATATATAATTGCAAAGGTGTTTAGATATAATGTTCTGTATTATGTATATTACACTTAATTTTTGTCATCCAAGAAAACAAAATCTCGAAAAAAACCTAAGATGTAAGATACCCGACCTTCTGTTATTAACTCTTGGAATTTCTATCTTATACAGAAATAAAATACGCGATGTTTAATTTATATTTATGTGAGGATGATTATCTTTTTTTCTATTCAATATAAGCTTATAAACATTGCATCCTCCAAGGATCGCCTCGACCTTTCGACCGATTGTTTCATAGGCGCGTAGGCGTTGGCTACGAAGTCGATGGATTTCTCTTTTTCTTAAAGCGCGATCGAAGGACTCGATGTAACGTTTGTCAAAAGAACTAGGCCGTGGACATTTCTGGCGTGGCCGGGAAATTCACTTGAGTTAAGGTAGCCACTTCGGATAGAGAACAAAGAAGCTCTTCAGCGCAGCGCAAAGAAAAGGAGGGAGAAATTCGATCGGGGAACTCGAATGCAAAAGCACCTCTCATCAGGGCCTGTCGAGCGTTTCCACTTCGGTATTTCATAATGCAGGCTCGCAGATCTGGAATGCGGGGATGCCAGGACGTTTCCAGACGATCGGTGAGAATGGAATCGTGTCAGCTGATATCACTGTAGGAAAATCCTCGAAGAATTTTTGTCGAGATAATCAGACAATCATCTTATTTTCACATAATTCATGCGAAGATCTTTATAAAAGAAAAGACGTCGAATACATGAAAAGAATGATTTTGTTGAAAGATCTAAAATTTTACTGAATACAGATTTAAAAATAATTTTGTTGATTGTTATCAAAATAATTTTATATGAATTTTATATGATAGTTGAAAACTGATAGACTATCAAAAATTTTTTTGCAGCATTGCTCTTATAATTTTTTAGTTCTCAACTTAATTATTTTGATGGTCCAACAAAATTATTTTCAAATCTGTATCCAGTAAAATTTTACATGTTTCAGAAAAATATTTCCATGTATCGTGATTGTTTCACCATTATTATAATTTTTCACAAACATTTTGATCGATCACTCATACGCAGATAACATACGATACACAATCGATAATATTTATTAACAAATTTAATGAATTTTGAAGGAATCTTGACAGCTCGAAAGTTTCGCGTCTTTGTTCTCGGTTTGAAAGTAAACCGGGAGTGCCGCGGCGAATCGACCGGCGCTCGCGAGAGTCTCGTTCTTACTGACTATGGTAACTATCGATATGCCAAGGCGCGTAGCCGATATTGTACGTGCGCCGGAAACCGCACGTTGCGCACCGGAAGCGGCCTCCAAGAGCGGACGTCAAGTATCAAGGTACACCAGGACGATCCGCTTTCTCTGCAAAACGGATGGTAGCCCGGAAACCGCCGTTACAATATACGAGGAAGGGAGTTGATTTACACCTTGGCGACTTCATTCGCGAACAGTGCAGTACTTCCTCCGTGAAAGAAATAAAAATGCGGAAGAGAAACAATGTACGGTTTGCTCCGAAATACCGGTAATTCAATAAAAATGTATCTACTGTGTTAATCAATTGTGTTGGTAGAAAAAACGTTTCACTTTCGAAAGAACTAAAACTCTAATAAGCTAGAATCGCAAAGAGAATAAATTAAAGAAGTCATTAAATTGAATTACTTAAAAAAAATTAAAACTTGAGACCCACTTATCGTTTCTTTTTCTTCTTGCACTACACTGAAAAAAAAAATTTACTATATCTTAATAAATATTTTTTTGAATATTTATGAGTAAATATTTACTTACAGTACATAAATATTTACTCAATGAAAAAAATGATAGTTAAATCAAATTAATAGTTTTTGTATCAAATAAATATACCTACAAATATTCAATGAAATATTTATTAAGATATAGTAAATTTTTTTTCAGTGCATACCGAACGTTGATGTAATATTCACGATGACCACTTTTTTGACGGCAGCTTGGAACAACATTATCGATAATAACAGTCTGAATCACTGCACGAAGATTTTTCAACCAAAAATTCTTGTCCCAGAGTCTGCTACTAATCTTTACCTGCATGATAAGGGTGGAGTCGATATTTCTCAGGCTGACTCTTTACATACCTGAAATAGGCAAGTTTTCGAATCTTAACCGTCCTGAAAGTCTCCTACCTCTTATCATTAATTTCAAAATTTTTTTATCTTCTTTTATCTGCAAAACTTTCTTTATCTGCATACTTTCCTAAACTACGTTCCAAAACTTCCTCTCCGAGGAAGATTTTCCTTCATATACTATAGTATACGTTACGTGTACTATATATAATATTTCGAGTACAATTTTCCTCGGAGAGAAAGTTTTGGAACGTAGCCCTAATGACAAAAATATGCACTATCTATTCTTGAAAACATCCAATCCATTGTTAGAAAACTGTCACGAAAGTGCGCGATATAAAAGTCGCCCGATAAGGCAATTAACTTGTTAATGATTCGAGTAGTGGTGGAGTCGTCGTCGAGATTGACTAAATAAATGCGATTTGCAAGTAGAAAAAAGTAGTACCAATAAAAAATCACGAACCGTTCGGTTTCTCACGCTCTCGATAAGGTGCTCGTATTAGGAAACGCGTTTGCGCTAATTATAAATTCTAATTTCTTCCCTCCTTTCGCTGTCGGGGGGGGGGGGGGGGGTGACGCGGAACAGACATGCTTTTTCCTCTCTCTCGCTCGGCGAGACCGTTATTACACGGTGCAATTATGTAAAAAGTAAATGCGCGAGGTTTCCAGGATTTTACGGGAGTCAGGTCATTGCGAGACGTTGAGGTCACAACGTACGACTGCGAATGAAACGATTGCGTGCTCCGTCACAATTTCAAGTCACGTCTTCTGTTTCGCTTGTTTTCTCGCGTAGTTTTCGGCCGATCACCCGAAAGGAGCTGTCCACTGTTAGGCAACATTGCAAAATCCGGGATTGCCCAGATATAGTCATTCCTGGAAGTCGCGAATCGTCCTGTTGATCCGTTGCGACCACAAGTTTTATTACGCCGTCATAGGCTAATAAAAAAAAAAGGATCGAATGACATAAGTCGAGTGATAATGAAGCGCTATTCCTTTGAACATTATTAAGGCCCAGTTCCACAACTCACGGTTAACTCTTAACCGAGGTTCAACTTATTCATTGTCTCTTTCCAATTCGAGAATTGGAGAGATGAGAAACAAATTGAACTTTGGTTAAGTATTCATTGTCTCTTTCCAATTCTCGAATTGGAAAGAGATGAGAAACAAATTGAACTTTGGTTAAGAGTTAGTTAACCGTGAGTTGTGGAACTGGGCCTAAGACACGTATGGCGGTTTCTGTTGGTCGATCTTATTCCTTGAATCTGTTTCTCCGAGACTCGATTACGCAACGAGGAAGCAGATAGATGTCCATTCATTTTTATGTAATGTGGAAAGAATGATTTTGCTGAAGCATCTAAAAATTTAGTTAGATACAGATCTGAAAATAATTTTGTTGGACCACCAAAATAATTAAGTATTAGAAATCTTAAATATGATTAGTAATACTGCAAACAATTTTGATATTCCAGCAACCAATTTAGACGTTCTACATAATTATTATATTTTAATAGCCCAAAATTATTATCAGATCTATATCTAGCTATATTTTTAGATACTTCAGTAAAACCGTTCTTTCCGTGAAGCTATAAAGTTTTAACTAATCTTTCTTTCACTATTACATTTAAGGCTCAACTTAGACAATTGTATAACATTGTAATCATCGATCGAAA